ACCAACCAGCGCTTGTCACTGATTTATAGAAAAAAACTCTTATGCTCTTGACAAGCTCCGAGGTTGAAGTGATAAAGAAGAGTGCTGAAGAGGTTGGTGTCAGGAGGGGAAAAAGAGGGGAAATCACCGGTGCATCCCCCCTCCCTCCTTTCTTTCCTGTCTTCCCCTCTTGCCTTCCTTTCTTCCTTCGGGTATCACAATCCTGTACCACAGCACCACCAGCCTGCGCCGATTATCCGTCCTCCCTCCACGAGCCTCGGAAGCGGAGTGAGGGACGCTGAACGGGGCGCGCGACGGCAGCAAAACGAGAGAGAGAGAGAGAGAGAGAGAGAGAGAGAGAGAGAGAGAGAGAGAGAGAGAGAGAGAGAGAGAGAGAGATGTCGCTGCCGATGGAGGGCGTTGGAAACTAGAGTAACCCTCTCTCTGCTCTTACTCAGTGATGATATTATTTTTATTTGAATTTTTATTCTTCAAGTCCTGTGTTGGGTTTTGTGAATGATTTTGACAATCAAAATCCTCTAAGACATTGGTAAGCTGAGTTAACAGTCACAGATTTGATAAAATATCATAAACTTCAGCAAAATAAAGAAGTGTATTTGTATGTTTAGTTGTGTTTGTGGAGAAAAAAAAGACTGATGGAACATGCAGAACTGTTTGTTCCAGTGTCACTGCACCCTGTCACATCCAGACTGAGGGTCTGCAGCAGAAGAAACCCTGCAGCAGGGGCAAACGAATGCAACAGTTGCTTTCTCCTCATTGGCTGAGGGCAGCGTCCAACTGCTGCTTGAGCACGTTTAGAATTTTACAGGCAGCCAATCAGAGGGAAGAAGGAGAGTATGGAGGGAGGTTGGCTGTGGAAGATCCTTCTCTCTGAGAGAGGATTGGTTTACAAACAGTCCCATTTAAAATACCTCCCGGCCAGTGAAAAGAAGAGAAAAAAATCCCATCATCATTTCAGGGAGACGAAAGAGATGATTTATGACTCTCTTCATCTTTGTCTTGTTGGAGTGTTTCAGACACATCAGGAGGCTTCACGCCACACCTAAAGGGATATTCCGGTGTAAATTTAAGTTATGGTCAAACACACCGTAACACAGAGTTAGACACCTCCTTGAGCGATGAAGATCGGTTGCTTCTCAAGTTACACTAACTTCAGCAGTGATTGCATGATTGCAATATACAGTGGTCTATGACTACATGTGCTAAACTTCAACCAAAAAGCCACTCCATAGACACAAATAATGCTCAGAACAGCACCTAACTTCATCAATAGTACAGAGACAGTCCCAGTCATAGTACTAGCCATCAAACATCTTTTTTAGCTTTGCCTGATTTCTTTAGCAAAGAGACCAAACACAACTCACCCGCTCTCTTCCAACAGCCGCTTATTTGAGGGGGAGCCCTGATGAGTTGAACAGCGAGTGCAGCGGAGTTTCGCAGCTCTAGGAAGAACATTTATGATTATTACTTCATGGAAGTGCAATCAGAGTTCTTGTGTATCTTGTATGTGCACTGCAGACGCGGTAGTTCTGCTGCCTTAGCATCTCGGTCCGATTGTATTTCCATGAAGAAATAATCATAAATTTGAGTTATGATTTGTCTCTTTGCTAAAGAAATCCGGCAAAGCTAAAAAGATGTTTGACTGCTAGTACTATGGCTGGGACCCTATGTACTGTTGATGAAGGTAGGTCCTGTTCTGAGCATTATTTGTGGCTATAGAGTGGCTTTTTGGCTGAGGTTTGCGCATGGAGACGTAGACCACTGTGTATTGCTATCATAAGTTGGTATGACTGGAGAAGCAAGCGATCAACAACATTCATCTCTCAAGGGCGTGTCTAACTCGGTGTTACAGTGTGTTAGACTATAACTTGAATTTACGCTGGAATATCCCTTTAAGTAATTGTATTTCTATAGGATTAATGTTTTAAGGTGTACCTACTTTAACAAGAAAGCAGCTTTATTTAGCAGGCACAGAGCAATTGGATGAATTTTTACTCAACATGAAGACTTTGTCATTTTTTGTTCCTGTTTGATTGAAGCCTGTCGGGGGTCCTTGGTTCCTCAAAAGGCTGGCTTGTACAAAATTATGGTGGTGTAGTTTGATTTATTCTAAAATAAAAAGAATTCTCTACATAAACTGATTGGATAAAATGCTCTAAACTGAACTGTATCATTTGTATGATTATGAGAGTTGTGTATAAATGATACATGCCACAACTGGAAGCATTCAATATTTCAATTTTCACCTGGAGTTCTGAAGACTTACAACTCACAGTGATACTGTGCAATAATACTATTTATTCACAGTTATTTTTAAAGGGTAGGTAACCCAGTTTATATCCATGCTTAAGTGAAGAGACTTCCTAAGTTATCAGCAATGCTTTTTTTTGCTGTATTTTCCACTGTTTCCTGAAGCTGTATTTTCTTTTTTTTTTGTAACATTCTCTTATTTTGAAAGTACTTTGAATTGTTAATTTATCAGAGGAAATTGGAAAAGTTACAAATCCGATCAGTAGTAGAATTAATCATCAGAAAAGGTGTAACCTTCTTATACCGTCACATCTCTCTTTCTTTTTGTCAACTGCAGAGGTGTGGACAAACACGTGACACATACATGACGTAGAGAAGGAGAGATCATTCAAAGGCCTTCTGATAGAGAATGGCAGTCTTATAAAGAAAAATGGTTGACAAATAGACATTGGCAGTTTGCCCAGATGTTGTCTGTGGGATATAAGCTCTGGTGGTCTGTCTTCACCTGCTTGCTACCATGTCTATCTGCAGCTCTTAATGACATCAGAAATGTAAGAGATACAGAGGTTATCAAACCAGAAAGGTCGAAAGCAGATAGTGTCCTCTACTATCAATATTCGTTTTTGAGCTTACTGATTTTAAACATTACATTGACAGAAAAATTTACTGAGAATCCCCAGAATTAAAAAATCTTTACAGTTTACCTCAGCAGGTCCTTGAAAGATGGTCTTAAATTACAGGTTTCGGCTAGCTCTGCATGAAAACTGAATAAAAAGGAAGCAGTTATCATCCAAATAGTCATGCTCTGAATGAATGTAATTTACAAAAAAAAGGACAAGAGACATAATGGTTTGATAAGCAGTTGCGTATCAGTTAATGTATTTAAGACTGCTGTGACAAGAAAAGCAACAGCATCAGTTGTTTTGGCAAATGCTCTGAAGGTAAAGGGAACAACAGAGTTGTAGAATAACTAAATCTGTGCATGGAAATCAAAATAGATGGATGAGTAAACGGAAACACATTTGGGACCTGATTTTTCATTTCCATGGTTGCTACTGTACCAAAACCTGAACCTCAACATTTTTTTCTTTGATTCTGAAAAGAGGGAACTAGAATGGCATGATAGAAACAAGGGTCAAAATACAGGCATGAAATGCAAAAAAGTCTCTTGCTGGAGTACAATAGTTAGTGCTGTCTGTAAAGACTTTGGGACGATCCCAATTGTACCCCTTAGCCCTTGTCTTACCCCTTAGCCCCCGGTTTTGTGCATTCATGTCAAGTGAAGGGGTGTCCCAATTCTCTGTAAGGTTAAGGGCAAGGGGTACAGGGTACACAACCCTTGAAACAAAGACAAACTGGGACCTCACTTGAAAGCAAAGGGTAAGATTTTGATGTTTTTCATAGTAATAACACTTAATGTTTTGTCTGTTTGTTTGTTTGTTTTTTAATCAGTTATTCAATCCTTTGCTACTCCACACAAATACTAGCTATGTTTTGAATTGTTTGCATTTTAAAATTGCATGTTATGACGAGGTAGCTTATGAAGCTATAGCTATTGATAGCTACATTAATGTCAGACTGCGATTGCGAACAAAAGGTAACAAAGGCTAAATGTTACAACAGTAGGTTGTTCTCGGAGTAGTTTACCAGGTAGCATCACATCAGCTTACCACAGAGCCAGCAAGCGGCAAGGCATGTTGATGTAGCAGGAATCGAGCAGCGTCTTGTTTCTTGGGGAATGTTTTCAAGGGTGACCATAGGTCCTCTTTTACCTGGACATGTCCTCTTTTTGTGGGCTCTCAGGCCTGTCCAGGGGAAGTTTAATAAAGCCTTCAAACGTCTAGGGTTTTGCATGAAAGTTTTGAGTTTGTGTACCGTGGACTAACTGAGTTAGAAGCGCATAAAAAACGCTTGACCCAACCCGAAAAATCCTCAATGCGCAACTCTGCCCTGTGTTGTAGCGTACTCCTTTTGGGGAATTACAACATGGTCACCATAGTGTTTTCACCCCTTCTCTGTAGCCCTCAAAACAGAGGGACAAGGAAAGGGGTAAGACAAAGGGGAAGGGGTAAGAGTGACACTTGGGATTGGCCCCTATGTCGCTTATCCATTTGACTACCAATGTACTGCTTAGCTTGAAAATAAGAATTCACCCCACCCATGATCTTTCTCTACTGATCCAAGTTAGTTTTTGTGGTAACACTAAACCCAGTCTGTGATACCAGTCACACTAATGTGTTTATCATTTTGTTTGTTTGTTTTTTTAAGTCCAGTTTCAATCACACCAAGACAATAAATCAGTTTCTTGAAATGGTAGCACCATAGATTCACTTGACATATAGCCAGGTAATAGAGCAATATTTCCCCCCTTTAATGTGTTCCCATCAATATGAATGTCACATGGATGTAATGATGGGACCAAGGTGTTCCTCTGACATGTCAGCATTTGAAGAGGCAAGTGAGGCATTACAGAAGTGACACAGGATAACTGTGACCTGTTGGAGCAGATGGGTGTGTGTGTGTGTGTGTGTGTGTGTGTGTGTGTGTGTGTGTGTGTGTGTGTGTGTGTGTGTGTGTGTGTGTGTGTGTGTGTGTGTGTGACAGAGGGAGCATGACCCGGTATGTTCATGCTGTGTGTTTACCTCTTGTTTACCTCTGGAATGTAATATGAAATAACACTCGGGGACATCAATATTACATCATTTGTAGGATCAGTATGAAAGTTGACAGAAAAATGATAGTGGCCCCGTTGCTGACTTGCAATATGAGCAGGGCTCCTGGGTTGAAACTGAAACTCAAATCCCTTTATGTACAATTGTGTGAATTACACAATGTTCTGGAAAAGTGGTTGAACAAAAGTCTCCATGTAAGACATGCCATGATCAGTACTTGTTGTGCCAGAAGTGGAGATGAGGGGGACTGAACCCATGACCTTAGGATGCCAAAGCATACACTTGCCTGCTGAACTGTATCCTCCACATGTCAGTTGGACCTCAAGAGATAATTGGCAGGTGGTCATGTGTAAAAGCTCCCCAGTGGATACGACAAGCACTTGTCTCTTCACACCACAGTCTTGTCTATCCTAAAAGGAAGCAGTTTCACTGATCACTTGCCTATTTTATCATATCCTTCTAATAACCTGGCTCCCAATGAATTTCCAAACAAACTGACACAACCCTTGAGTTAAAGATAATATTATGGATTTAAATATAACTTTTAAATGTATATTGTACAGCTAAAATAAAGGTCTCTGAAATTTCAACAGTTGCAAGTGTTTCTGCTGGATATATAATCTTTATCATACCAGCTTTCTTGTGGTTTGGATTTACTTTAAATTGAACATCTCCATTCATGCCAAAGTCAAAATATTTGCATCCGAACTCTTAAATACAAACATATTCACCAGCACCTGTATGCTCTTTTTCCCGTTACTTTCCTGTTGGCAATGTTTCTCATTCAACCAGACCTGTAACACTGCCAAAGCCTTTAATGTGCTGTTGGTTTACAGTTGCTGCTGGTCTCATGTCTTCAGTTTAGTAGATGTCTCTGTAGGCCCCTTGCTTGTTTTAACATCCCTTAATAGTTCCTACACTGGTTTTCTGCTCTTTTGGGGCAGGTCTTTTTGTCTTATTATCTCACTAATTATTGATCTAAAAATATGTGCAGAAAGTACTTTTAAAAAAATCCTTTCCGGTTTTATTTATTTTTTTACTGATGCTTTCAGAAACTGGCATTTTTGCCAAACGGTCAACTTGCTTTCCAGAATTGATAATCCTTGCTATGGGGTTTGACCAATCAGAGTCAAGTATTTAACAAACATGGGGAATAGGGGAGAAAGCTGGGTAACACTGACAGTTTGATTGTTGTTAGTCAATTTATTGGGTTTGGTTAGCCGTGTCTCTGGACACATCAACCGACAACAGCTTCTCACTTTTCCTATTGTCAATGAATGTAACAGCGTCACATGGTTTTGAAACAGCTGGATGTGCTGGTGCTTCATTGACTAACAATTAGCAGCTGTCATACCCGTAAGAAATGGAGATGCTGGGGATTGAACCCAGGACATCAAACAGGCAAAACATGGGCTCTACCACTGAGATACATCCAGTGGATGAAGACCTTCAGACTAAGAACTTCCAACTAGTTAACACATCTTGTGTCATTTTTATGACTGAAAGCCTAAAGCAGTAATGTCTAAACATGTCTGAATCTATATTTGGGCAATTATAGTGGAGGTTTGAAAAGCTCCGATATAGTACTCATTTGTAGGATGGACAGCAGGCGCTTTCATTCAGCAGGGAGCAGTAGATGATAATACACACTTTCATTATAGCATTCAGTGAGCCTTTATTACTTTGGATGCAAAATGACATAATTAGATTAAGATAAAGGGCATGTTGTCAGCTGTAATTAGAGGGTATTTCTGGCCATTATGAATAAACACATAAACAACTGCAGACCCTTTTCACACACAGTCTCTTTATTTCAGGCTGTCAGGTTGGGAGACAGATTAAAATGAGCTTTAATACATGAGACAGACTTTGCATGTTTAATTCTGAATTCATAGCCTGTATCTTCTTGTATCTTTTTGTCTATGTGCTGAGGCGTTCCTGTTCAAGGCAAAACGAGGCAATGCTAAGAAAAAAAAAATTGATTTGTTTCTCCTCTTCAAAGACAGAGGAATTTCATGGTTTTGAAAGCGTACGTGTGCACACTCACCTTGCTCTGTGGTGCTGAGTGAGGATAAAACTGTTCCTCCAATTTTCACCCCAGAAAACGACTGGACCAGAAAACATCAGGGTCTTCAATTTTTAAACTGTGATTTCTCCTCAGGAAGGTTTGCACAGGCAATTTGTTGCTCAGATAAAATATATATAAAACAGCTATGAGGTTTGTTTGAAATTCAAGTAGTGTTATACAATGAATTGAAGGTAAAAATACAGGGGGCTTGCTGCACTTTAGGTACTTATTACATACTGCATTTCAGTGCAAAAAGCTCCTTAAGTACATTATGACATATTTTCAGCGTCAATCCTTGATGAAAGTAAAACAACCGAAAATAAGGGAGTATAAATTTGACTGGACCAAACTAGACAGCCAGTTTGGTGTCCTAGCAGGGTCATTATGTAGCTGTGTTGTCTCCCCTGCTGTGTTCGATTGGCGCACAAGCTTAATTGCTGCCTCAAGCTCCTAAAACCTTGATTGTTACCAAAAGCAGGCATTTTGTTTGATACACTACGTTTGATAGTTTTGTCAGAAGTCTTTAGGAATAAGCAGTCAAGTGAGCTCATTAGTCACTCTAGTCAAGGCAGAATGTGTGATATATTCAGTTGGTAAATGAGAGATATTTTCATTGTAGTTTTGTCAAATGTTTCATTTTTATGTGGGTTTTAAACATACCTCTGGCTATTTTCATCATAGACCTTTTTTTCTGACCCATGTCCGTCAAAACAAGGATTTTTTAAATGATATTATCTCATCAGCAGCAATTTCTAGAGAAGCAACTCCTCCCTTAAATTAGGAGCGAGTTTGCACGTCAACATTAATACTGATGCTTTGACACAGACTTGTTTTCTTTTCCCATCTCTGGCTATCACCATGCCCTCCAGAGAAATGCAGAATTGTACAAGGGCTGTCAGGTCATTGGTAAACTGCAAATGAATTACAGACATGACTTGTTTGAGTTTAATTTTGGTGAAAGAAAACTCACTGACTGCCTTTGGGGCTGTTTTGTTGTTTTTTTCGCATTGAGTTCACACCAAAGGCAAAGTGAATTTTCGTGATATGTTATTAGCTCAAGCTCGGCCTTTATGCTAGTTAATCATGACCCATGGACATTCTCTTTCTAGATATGTTGAAAACACAGTGCTGTTATGTCTGGGTTCATAACATCACCCAGAGGCGCAATGGCTTGGTCAGTTTCAGCACCCTGTCAAGAAACTGCGTCTGATTTAGCTTTACTGCTGCTTCAAGCTACTCAAGGTTGACCAGCTCCTAGCTCCTGGGGTTAGGAATAAAGTACCATTCTTCTGATCTGGCTTCAGAGCAAATGTATGTTTGTCATTTGCACCACGTTATCACACTGATGGTAAAGGCTGCTATGTATAGAACCCATCAGTCTTTGACTAATCCCATTCACACACCATTGGACACTGCTAGCAGGGGCGGGTGGGGTCAAGTGTCTAACAAGTTTTAACAACCATTAGTTAATGACAGATAGTGAATCATTAGCTACTCAGTTGAATCAGATTAGCAGTTGCTCACTATCTACGCATTAACAAACTTTTGACTAGCTGTTAGTTGCTCCATCATCACCCAGTAGCTTTGCAACATCTGTGTACCCTATTGTAAAATGTTTCTGAATTTTCAAATTCAGTTTGGTAAGTAACTTGTATTAGTTCACTTTACTTTATTGAATTATTTGGTTGCATGCAGGGATGCACCGATATGAAAATTCTTGGCTGAAACCAAAAATGAGGGAACCGAAACACTGTAAGAAATTATTATGCCAACTATTGGTACCATTACATTTATGGCTATGACTGTGGACTAACCTCACTAAAATCAAGGCATTGCAATTGCATGATATTAAATATTAAATTCAAAATAATTCATGTAAACACACTCAATGTGCTCTATCAGCCTACAAAATCCCAAGTCCTCTATGACAGAGAACTGCTGGTCATCTAAGGCAATGAAGTCCATAATTTTTTTGTGTAATGCCCTTTGCTTTGGCACCATCACCGGTTAATTTTCTTGACTTTTAGAAAACTATTCACCACAGACGGAGTAAGTGTGCTCAGAGGGATTTTCCTTTTTCTGTGCCGTGTTCTGCTTGTATTCACATTAGCGATTGGGAAATTTGGATTTCAGGCGATAAATTAAACCTGATGTGAAGAAACTTTTTCGCGCATGCACCCCCTCTTGAAACTTCAGCATTACAAGCTTTGCAAATTGCTATCCTTAGTTCTCAGAGGTATTGACATACATCCACACTGCAGACATGTTGGCCCTTATCCGGAAAACATCTTTTTTGTTTCGATGTCTTTTGGCTGAGATTTCGTTAAAAAACATAATTTCCTGTAAAAACATATAAGGCTTCTTTTTAGATCCTCTTTTGCAAAACTCTGAGCACAAACTCAAAGCCATGCTCAGAGCCCGCTCCTTGAACCCTGAAACGACGTCCGACTCAAAGCAGACATGGTGTTTACACAGAGAGCACGTCACACAGAGCATTTAAAACTGAAGCATTGCAGATGTAGTTTCAGTACAGTGATACTGTGTGTGGTAGCCACAGTCAGAGCTCCAGTCTCGTGTTGTAAACACTGAGCTGAGGCAGCACTTCTGAGTGGTCTGGAGTGGAAAGATGATTCTGTAGTTGAACGTGCTGACCCACAAACCTCAAACAGTAAGGGAGTGATCACCGGGAGCTGGGCCACCCACTGAATGCAAAAACACACACACACACACACACAATTGTTTATACAGTGTATACAAATAACAGTGTATAGTGACAAAGAAGAAAAACAAGCTAAAACCTGTTTGAACCTGGAGAAGGATGCAAGAGCCTTCAGAAGACAAGGAAAGGAAGGGCGATGGGAGGAACGAGTGAGGAGAGCTTTTCTCCTCTGCCCCTTTACAATGACACTGCTCAGCTTGACAGTATGAACACCTCAAACTGCAGGCACACGGAGAAAGCTGCATACATACTGCTCTATTTTAGACAACTATGTTTGTGTGTGTTTGTGTGTGTGTGTGTGAGAGAGAGAGAGAGAGAGAGAGAGAGAGAGAGAGAGAGAGAGAGAGAGAAAGAGAGAGAGAGGGAGAGAGATCAGTAGTGCAGGTAGGTGTGTTTGCTTGTTGCGGTTTTGTAAATTAGTTTAGCAAGGGTTTATTTGCCTGTAAACATAATTATAGTTGACATGTCTGTGTGTCTTTTTGTGTGTCTGTGTTTGTATGCATAAGGCTGATTCAGTCATGACTAAGGATATTTAAGCCTGAGTTTGGCTGTTTCCATCTTACAGATGATTTGACATGAGACAAAGCGACACATGCAGCTTACTAACAAAAACAAGCACAAATGTCTACAACAAATACTATTATTTACATTCTGTTACTTCAAAGGGTTTGACTTCCCAGCTAAACAGTCCCTGCAGAGGTATGTTTAGAAACAGCTTTAGACTTAATATCATACCATAAGCCTCCTTTACTTACACAATACTTAATATTTCCGAACATTTGCCTCAAATTCCTTTCTTGCTTACTTTTCCAGATATCCTTCACTCCCCAGTTTAAAAGAGTTCAGTCACAGGAAGCAATACAAGTCACAAAAGCATGCTGCAAAAACCACAGTGCTGTATAATTTTCACAACCTGATGGTAGACAAAGCAAGAGAGAGCTGAACTATGATTATAGCTTTCGTATATACAAGGATGCTACATGTAAACGTACGCTTATGCAGATATCTACACTATTGCACTGTGTTTGCACTGACTGCATGATACAAACGTCTTTGGCCAACTGCTTGTGGCGAACTTTTCTGCTGCATTCTTACACTGGCTCACCCTTTTACCTTACAGGGGGGCTGGTAAAAACTCTGAATTAAGTCAGGGGAGTTTTGTGATATATGAATACAGCTGTGTTGGAAATGATTGGACCCCACTGGCTAGGATGACCATAGGTCCTCTTTTACTTGGACATGTCCTCTTTTTTGGGAGCTGTCCAGCCTTGTCTGGGGGAGTTTATAAATCCTTCAAATGTCCAGGGTTTTGTAAGTTTTGAGTTTGTGTCGTGTGGACTAACTGACCTAACCTTGAAAATTCTCAAAATTGACCAAGCATGACTCTGTGTCTTTGCCCCCCGCGTAGTTGTGTCCTCCTTTTGGGGATTCCGAATATGGTCATCCTACCACTGGCTGATTAGGATTTGATTGATATAAGGGGTTGTATTTTTTGCTAGTTCATGACTCTGACTGACTTTTGTGTGGGCACTCGATAATTTACCCACTGACCTATTCCTTATTTCCACAAACACAGACGAAAGCTGTTTACTTACATATACTTTAAACATACTTAAATTTCACTCCTCCATGCATTTTAATTGACTTTAAATTTTCTCATTTTATATTCACTCTTATCCTCTTACACAAATTCAAGGCTGGGTCATTCTCAGAGACTGCAATACATTTTTAGAAAGTTGTCAGACGGGGTCAGAGTCACACTCTTTGATTATGTTTTTATTTTTTATCAATACTAAAAGTAATTGGAAGTATCCACAGTATCAACAAATGAGTGAAAAAGAAACTAGAAAAGAAAAGTGAGTATAAGGGTGTAGGGCTGAACGATTTGGGCTAAAAATAAAATCCAGAAACTCGATTTTCGATTTTTTATTCAGTGATAACTTCACTTTATTAAAGAGTTTTTCTATCATCTCTCAAAATGAAACCACTGAAAATAATGTAGTGCATATGCCAAGCCAGTGAGTGGCACAGGAAATGCACAAAAGACACAAGAAGAGCACAGAGCATGCATATTAAGGTTGTATTTGGCTGGACATGTGCAGGCGCCATAAAAGAGTTACCCGGTGTGTCACATAATGGTTTTGAGAGATGCAGATAGGCATCCACACAGAGATGAAATGGTGGTTGTCAATGCATTTATGCACTCTCTGACCCAAGTACTGTTTACAGTCACCTGAAACGCTGTTTCCGTGTGGATGAAACGCCGATACAACAAAAACTTTTGTGTCTCCTGATTTTGTTTCTGTGTGGACGGGTTGACTCTGCCTTCAGACAGACTTTGCAGAGGGGAGTGGTTTGCTCTTCATTCAAAACTGCAAAGCCGCACCAACTCTACACGGCTGACTTGCTCTTGCCTTATTTAGCCACAAAATTATTGCCTTCTTTTGCAAACGCCATGTTTGTTTACACTGGTGTGTATTGGAAGTGGGGAGCGCCTCCGCAGGAAGGGGAGCCTACGGTGGCCTGAAGGCCTGAGACATGATAGAGAGGAAAATCGATTTGACAATTTTAATTTTTTAAATATCGTCATAATCAAATTATCCGATTAAGATTTGAAATTCGATTAATCATGCAGCCCTATAAGGTTGTCTAAGAACCTTTTTGATGTTTATTTTTTTTCCATACCGTCCTGTGTTGGTTTCTCCTCCCTGTTCTTTGCAGTGTTATATGAAAAGGTGTTTCCCACCAAGATGTGCTACTAATCTGCTCTGCTCCTGTAAAACCGGATTCCGAAGTACCTTAAATAGCAGTCGTATTTTTAGAAGACATCAGTTCATCAAGGCATGCTTCTCTTGAAATTTTGATGATAGATCTCTTAATAGAGTATCAAAAACACGTTTCTATTGCTTTGAGAAAAGGAGCTATCAGAGGGGAGAGTAATATTGTAATATCTAGGAACTTGATGGCCTAACTGACTCCTATGTAAAGCTCAAGGATCTACAGCTGTGTTGTCAAATTTGCAAGGACAGAAGGACACAGATGTGCCCTTTACACCACCAAACCCTTTTCAGCCTGACATTTCCAAGAATCCAGACTGTCCTGATAAACTGGCCAAGACATTATAGTCTGCTCCTGCCAAAACTGTAAACAAACATAACATGGATCATGGTGGAAACATACAAAACACTACTACCCATACATTTTAGCATCCAGTTAATCACTATTGTGGTTCTGCAGAGTACTTTTTACTTTGAGTTCAACTGCTTGCAAAGGATTTACATTTATGGCTTTCTAGACTTTGTCTGGTTTGTAAACATCTACATCGTATATCCCAATGAATGAATCAAATGCATGCAGCAGATATGGCTCCCTTTCTTTCTTTCCTTTTTACAGCCGCTCATGTTCCCAGGTGATGTGTTTTGCCTGGATGATGGATAAGTCCTTGTAAAGTCAAGGCCTTGGGTTGGACCTTTTAATTCTTGTCCAAAATGAAATAGGTTCCTATCCTGTGTTACTTGTTGCTAACAATTTTTTATCAAACCCAAAGAAGTCTTTTTTTAATCCTATTAAAACAGCAGCAAAATCCTTATCTCTTCAGAGGTAAAGATTAGTATTTAGGTAAATAGGAGTGTGAAATTTAAATTTGGTAAATGAAATACTAACACCATCACACCTTGATTGCACCTCAGTAATCAAACAGCTCTAAGCCTCAGAGGTTTTCATTTGCAGTATAGAAAAAAAAGAAAATTGTTTAAAGCTCTCAAAAGTAGTTTGATAAATTATTCTGCAAAGACGGAGACACTTTTTCAGGCAGTTGCCTTTCAGTGTTATAGGTAGTCCTTACTGTACTTATATATTTCATTGACGTCAGGCTTTTTCACCCTTTCCACCACTCACCCGCACTCATGACCTCCACAAAGCCCAGAGGATACAGGGTGAGAAAACGGTCTATTCCCCTGCTATTGCCACAGGTGTTATTTTTCACAGTTTGTGTTGTTGATAAAACCTGATTCTTCAGGGTTTTCTCATGTAAAAAGAAACCGAGTCTCAGGGAGAATACTCCTGAGACAGCCCAAGATTATAAAACAACTTCTAATTATCTTTTACCAGATTCATAAGAAGCACCCCATTAACATCAACTTAAAGAAGAAGATAACAAAGCTGTAAATCTGTCTTATTAACAGCAGAATCAAGATCTGATATTGAACTTGTGCTATCTTTCAGCCTTACATATTAAATCCTTTTATGATTCATTTTAAAGAAAAAAACACAGACATATATGTACGCATGTCTGTGTTCATCCCCATGTTTTGGCTATGTGTAGAGAGGCTGCCTGGGTGATTACTGAAGGATTATGCACTGGGCTTTTAAGGGCAAGGTTGTTTGTTTAAGCTTGAGCCTAAATGATACCAGGGGCTTTCAAGGGATAAAAGAGAGGGGCTCGTGTTCAGCTTCATCTGTTTAACCTCTGGCTTAAGTTTCAAGTCTTTCCATCTTTTAATGCCATGTTCCAAACTTTACCATACTTACTACTTCTTTATATGAACCTTTTCTCCTCTTGTTTTCTACCTTTTGACCCAGGAGAGAAATCTCCCCACCGCTGTATAGAGAGCTGCAGTGACCAATCAGTGGCCCTGGATTATAACACAGTCTGCGATAATTGAATTTGGGCTGTCGGCACGGCAACTGAGCTGGGGAAATAGAGGGAGCTGGGAGGGAGCTTGGATGGTCTTGGGGGTAGAGGAATGGAGTTTCATTTGGAGATAGACAAAGAAACAGGAGACTAGAGAAAGAAAGAATGCTGCGGAAATTGAGACATAAAGCCTGGAAGCAGAGACCAAGAGAGAAAGGGGGAAGGAAAGTAGGAAATGGGTCCATCCATGCATCTATTTATTCATCCATGCATCCATCTATACATCTATATGCATTCCATGTTTGTGTCTATCTGGGTTCATGGTGAGGCTGGACTACATTATGAAATAATGGTATTACAAATACAGCATGGAAAGAGGGATGGAAATGAAGCCATTCCCTTGAAAAAAAAAGGGATGGAAAGAAAATCAGAGTGGCACAGAAAGAAGGAAGGATGGAGAGAATTAGTGAGGCAAAAGGGCAGAGATAAAGAATTAAAGGGAGAGATAGAGATAGAGAGACGTGAGAGAGAGAGGGAACAGAGAGCAGCTTTGTGTATGAGCTGGCAGTGAGGAGCAGAGCTGCATAGCAATCACTTGTTTGCTATGCTTTAATCAGCCAGATAATGCTAAACATTAGCTAGTGCTCCTACACTTCAGACTCATTTAATCAGAGCTCTAACTTTGTGCATTAGCTTCCTCTTTTATATCGGTGTCTGCAGCGCTGCAAGGGCACAGTAAAGTAGGCTTTTACCGGTACACTTGAAGAAGAAAACAACCACAGACAGAGAGAGAGAAAAGAGACTTTTGACTTTTAGCCCTCTTGATAAAAACATGGCCAGGAATAATAAAGCAAGAGGTTGTAAGAAGTCAAGAGAAAGGACAGTTAAGATACACTTAACACTGAGGGCATTTACTTTGATGTCTGGCTTTGTGTTTGCAAGTGGAGTCCATATGTACCTTCTTTCCATGTCAAACTACAAAGAAGTCCATCAAAAAATATCTATACTACTTGAGTTTGTCTCCTTATTAAAACCTTTACCCATTACATTTATAATCTGGTGTAAATGTTTTTTATCATAAGCTGTAGTATTTTATGCACAAAACCAAATGACTTTTCCCTCACATGTAAAATTTCTGCTTGGAGTCTGAGTAAACCCATGTGAGAACACAGCATGAAACCTAAATGCAATGCAATGATGTTTGTGTCATAAGACTCCTGCAAACTTAAGCAGAGAGACATATAATGGATGGCTAACAACTGCTGATAAGAGGAGTATTTTTCATGATGATGACAGTGAGTGTGCCTTCACATCTGTCCATTTACATACGGCGTTGATGTGAATGCAAAAACTTTCATAGCATAGATCACTGTCACTTCATCACTTTGAAAACACCACACTGTGGATTTCCCAGCCCACTTTGGATGTTATTCCTTATTTGTACCCTCCTTACTGTCTCTTTACCCTGCACTTTCTTCAGAGAACTTACTTTCTTATTTATGTAACACTACAATCAAACCACATTTAAACTGTTGGTCTTTAATATTATCAGTGTTTCTGTTGGCAGAATACCCACAACACTAAAGGGATATTCCGAAGTAAATTTAAGTTGTGGTCAAACATACTGTAACACCAAGTTAGACGCCCCCTGGAGAGATAAATGTTGCAGACTGCTTGCTTCTCTAGTTATACCAACTTCAGCAACGATCACACGGTAGCAATACACAGCGGTCAACGTCTCCATGCGCAAACCTCAACCAAAAGCCACTCTATAGCCACAAATAATGCTCAGAACAGCACCTAACTTCATCAACAGTACATCTAGGGTCCCAGCCATAATACTAGTCATCAAACATCTTTTTTAGCTTTGCCTGGTTTCTTTAGCAAAAAGACCAAACACAACTCACCCACTCTCCTCCAGCAGCCGCTTTTGCAGCACAAGGAAGAACAAGAAATTTAAGTTATGGCCATTCATCATAACACTGAGTTAGAAACCCCCTCGTGAGATGAATGTTGCCGACTGTTTGCTTCTTTAGTTATACCAGCTTTAGTAACGACCACATGATAGCTAAACACAGCCGGTCATTTCCATGAAGTAATAATCATCATAATAATCATTTTGCACTGCAGACGTGGTAGTGGGTGAGCAGTGGCGGCCAGTATATGAGGGCACTGCGGGCGGAGCCCCGCCTGAAGTGCGTGAGCAAAAAGAGATGTCTGTTGACTCCCTGAAAATTATTCTCAAAGTAAGGAAATGGCGCTATTATATTAATCATCCCATTAAATGTCTATTTCAGTCCATTAGCGATCTCTCCACCCAGCGCCGGGGCAGACTTGAAACGTCTGTTGGCTCACGCATGCTCAGATCACAGTTCTGCATTAAAAAGTTAGCTTATTCTAGCCACATAAAAAAAATCCTTAAGGGGCGCCAGGGACCAGTGCCCCAGCATCCCAAATTTAAATGACGTAAGCACGTTCATAACCAGATTGGTCACAAACGAATGCATAGCTACAATGTGCATCTGACGTAGCTAGCTGCTCTACTCTGAGCCGGTCCGCCCCTCATTCTGCACTTGGCTGCTATTGACAGAGGACTTGTGAATGACTACCGCAAACCCCCTACCGAGTGATTTACCGTAGAACGCTGCGCTGTCCATCAAGTAGGTCCTGTTTGAGAGGAGAACTCTGCAGGACAAACTAAAGCTGAAAGAGTTCGGTCAGGATCAACCAGACGTCGCCACTCAGCGAGCGACCACCGAGAAGAGCAGACAATATACGCTGACTTTTCAAGAGCATGGTATAGGGGCAAAGCATGGCTAACTGTAAGTCCAAAGAGTAAGGGTTTTTTTTCTGTTTCCCAAGTATATTAATGGTGACAAAAAGAAATTACAAAGTTGGAAAAAAAAAATTTCGGCTACTGAAACAGTCAATCAACAAAATCTGTTAAAAAATCTTAAAAAAGATTAAAACCTAATATAAACCATAAATTTATTATAGTGAGATATAAAAGCCAGACTAAAAAGAAAGCTAACAGACAATGTTCATGCCACAATGTTAGAAATCAATAATATTTAAGGCAGGATGAAAACATCCTGGAAAATGATTTCTATAAAAGAGTGGGAACCCTGTATTTGTTTACCCAGTTTCAATTCAGTTCAATTGAAATATAGAATAGAATAGAATAGAATAGAATATTCCTTTATTGATCCCCCATAGGGGAAATTTTTTTGTCACAGCAGCATCACAGACAAGACAAAAAGTGCAAAAATGCAGTTATAACAATAAGGGTCCTAATATTAAGAACTTAAATAAATGTAATAATTAAGACAAAAAATTAGAAAAGGGAGAAGAAAAAATAAAGCTTTCTACAATATACACAATTTAAATGCCATAAAAAAAGTGGTGGTGTAAATCCAGTTTTGTTACTGTTCATTGTAAACCCTTATTGCAGAGGGGAGGAATGATCTGCGGTAGCGCTCCGTCCTGCAGAGTGGGAGTCTCAGTCTGCTGCTGAAGGAGCTGCCTAAAGCCCCCACAGTCTGGTGCAGTGGGTGAGAGGGATTGTCCATGATGGATACAAGCTTTGTTAACATCCTCCTCTCACCCACCTCCTCCAGGGAGTCCAAAGAGCAGTCCAGGACAGAACCGGCCCTCCTGACCAGTCTATTCAGTCTCTTCCTGTCCCTCTCGGTGCTCCCTGCCCTCCAGCAGACCACTGCATAGAAAAGTGCAGATGCTACCACAGAGTCATAGAAAGTCCTGAGCAGAGTCCTGCACACTCCAAAGGACCTCAGTCTCCTCAGCAGGTGGAGACGACTTTGGCCCTTCTTGTACAGAACGTCTGTGTTTGTTGACCAGTCCAGTTTGTTGTTGAGGTGGACACCCAGGAATCTGTAGGACTCCACCATCTCGATGTCCAGACCCTGGATGTTCACTGGAACAGTCTGAGGTGTCCCCCTCCTGCGGAAATCCACAACCATCTCCTTTGTCTTACTGGCGTTGAGCTGGAGGTGGTTTGTGCCACACCAGTTGACAAAGTCAGTGATGACAGTCCTGTTTTCCCGCTCATCCCCTGGCGATACACATCCGACGATGGCTGTGTCATCAGAGAACTTCTGGAGGTGACAGCTCCCAGAGTTGTAGCTGAAGTCTGAGGTGTACAGGGTTAGGAGGAAGGGGGAGAGCACTGTCCCCTGTGGAGCCCCCGTGCTGCAGACCACCATGTCCGATACACAGTTCTGAAGCCTCACAAACTGTGGTCTGTCGGTGAGGTAGTCCACGGTCCATGCGGCTAGGTGACAGTCCACTCCCGCCCGCTCGAGCTTCCCCCTGAGCAGTGAAGGCTGGATGGTGTTGAACGCAATGGAGAAGTCAAAAAACATCAATCAATCAATCAATCAAATTTTATTTATATAGCACTTTACAATATCCCAAATGGTACCCAAAGTGCTTTACATAAAAGCAATAAAATAACACAAGAAAAAATACCATTATAAAATAATACAATAGAATAGAATAATACAAGAACGATGAAATAATAAAAATGAATATGAGAATAAAATAATACAATAAAATAGTATGTAGAAGTGCTAAAAACCTATAAGTACAGGACTACCTAGTCAGAGTTAAAAGCAAGTCTAAAAAGGTGCGTCTTTAACTTTGATTTAAATAAACTGAGGTCAGTGGTGGCGCGTACATCTAGCGGCAGTCTGTTCCACAGCCTAGGAGCTGCAACAGCAAAAGAACGATCACCCCACTGTTTGAGTTTTGACCTCGGGACCTCCAACAGGCGCTGACCGGAGGAACGGAGGGCCCTGCCATGATCGCGAACAGTTAAAATCTCTGACAGGTAGGAGGGGGCCAGGCCATTTATGGCATAAAAAGTAAATAATAAAAGTTTAAAGTCAATTCTAAAACAAACTGGAAGCCAGTGTAGCGAAGACAGCACAGGGGTGATGTGTTCACGCCTAGACGTGCCCGTTAAAAATCGTGCAGCAGCGTTCTGTACAAGCTGGAGACGGGAGATTAAAGACTGGCTGAGGCCAACATAAAGGGCATTACAATAGTCCAGTCTGGAACTGATGAAGGCATGGATTGCCTTCTCGAGGTCCTGCCGACTTAAAAAGGACTTCACTTTGGCCAGGAGACGCAGTTGAAAAAAGCTGGTACTGACGACAGATCTAATCTGTTTATCGAACTTAAGTCCACTGTCAAATGTTACCCCAAGATTCTTTACATGTGGCTTGAAAAAAGGCGCCAGATTTCCAGAGTCTGTAATCGAAACGTTTGATATCGATGGCGTGCCAAATAAAATACACTCAGTTTTGCTGTCATTTAGGTGCAAAAAGTTCAGAGCCAACCACTGTTTTACTTCAGTAATACAGTCCAGTAAGTGAGAAAGTGCACTGTTCTCGTTGGGTCGCATGGGCAAATATAACTCTAAGTCATCAGCATACGAATGAAAAGACAGATTGTATTTTCTTATAATTGATCCCAGGGGTAGTAAATACAAAGAGAACAGAATAGGGCCAAGAATAGAGCCCTGTGGCACCCCACAAGAGAGAGGCGCCTGTGAGGAGCAGAGGTCACCAATCATCACGGAAAAACTCCTATCTGCCAGGTACGACTTAAACCATTTGAGAGCGGTGCCACGGATGCCTACATACTGCTCAAGGCGAGATACAAGGATTGCATGATCGACTGTATCAAAAGCCGCTGTGAGGTCCAGCAGGACCAGCACAGCGGGGTTTCCAGCATCCACGGACAGGGCAATATCATTATGTACCTTTAACAGTGCTGACTCAGTGCTATGTCGAGACCTGAAACCAGACTGAAATTTATCAAGAACAGAATTTACCTCTAAAAATGCATGCAATTGAAAGGAGACAACTTTTTCCAAAACCTTAGAAAGAAATGGCAGGTGGGAGACAGGCCTAAAATTGGACAGCACAGTGGGGTCAAGATGCGTTTTTTGAGGAGGGGCCTAACCACAGCATGTTTGAAAGCAGCTGGGACAGACCCTGAGCTAAGACAGGTGTTGATAAAAAACAGCAAGCTTGATCCAACAGAACTAAATACCTCCTTTAGAAACTTGGCTGGAATAATGTCTAAGGGACAGTTAGTGGGTTTTAAGCCACTAACCACCTTAGTGAGAGACGACAGAGAAATTGTTTCGAAGTTCTCAAAAACAGCAGATAGTGCAGGAGGAGCACACACATCATTGGGGGACGTTAACATATAACTGATATTCTGCCTGACTGATGCCACTTTGTCTATGAAGAAAGAGGCAAACTCTTCACAGGTGGAGGAGGAGGCATCAGACAGGACAGTAGAGCATGGGTAAATAACAGAGTCAATCGTGCTAAATAGTACTCTCGGATGATTAGAGCTGTTGGCTATAACAGAGGACAAATATTTGGACTTTGCCTCCTTCACAGCTCTCTGATAAGCAGCCAAACTGTCCCTTAACCAACCCAGCGAGACATGCAGTTTGTCCTTTTTCCACCGCCGCTCAGCCTGTCTGCATTGTTGTCTGAGCAGACGGGTGTGGTCGTTTAACCAGGGATCAGCCTTGGTTTTGGTGATTTTTTGCCGAAAAGGGGCAACAGAATCCAGAATTTCAGAGCATGTAGAGTGAAATGTGGAGAGCAGGGTGTCCGGACAGAGGGAGGGGACCAGTCCACTGTGAGCATGCATCTGAGAGTTCCCAAAGGCGATAGCAAACTCTCTGGCCGTTGATGGAGTGAAGATACGGCGTCTACAGGCTGGGGAAATGGGTTTGTTGGGAGGTGGGGGGGCAACAACATCAAAAACAATCGGAAGATGATCCGAGATAGCAGTGTCGACTTTTTCTCTAAGGGAAACTGAAAGCCCACGAGAAATGACAAGGTCAAGAGTGTGCCCGTGTTCGTGTGTTGGTGCATTTACAGATTGAGTGAGGCCACACGAGTCCAAAAGGCCTTTAAACTCATTCGCAAGTTGATTTGCTGCACAACAAACATGAATATTAAAGTCCCCACAAATCAATATTTTATCAAACTTGGGAATTACATCAGACAAGAACTCAGAGAACTCTTGGAGAAAGTTTTTGTTAAAATTGGGTGGGCGATAAACTGTGGCACACAGCACAGGACACGAGAGGTCGATCACAGACAACTGCAGCTCAAAGGTGGAGTAATTATTAGCCTTTATTATTTTGCATCTGAAGGTCTCTTTGAATATAGCAGCCACACCGCCACCACGACCGGTAGCACAGGGGGTGCTGAAGAAGGAGCAGCCGGGTGGGAGGAGCTCCGAGAAAACACCGATCTCACCTGGTTTTAACCAAGTCTCTGTCAGCAGGAGGAAATCCAATTCGCGGGTAGCGAAAAAGTCGTTCAAAATAAATGTCTTATTCGCGAAATATCTGGCGTTTAACAGCGGCATATGAGCTGCGTATCGACCAGTCAGGCGAGAGAAGCGGCTGAGCGAGCGGAGATTCCCCGGCACACAGCCCCGCTGGGAGATCCGCACTGGCCGACAACACGGGAGCAAAACCCCGGTGTCCCGGAGAACTGGCCGGAGCCAGCGATATCTGTACTCCGTGGAGCTCCGTAGATCGTATCCGTTGTAGTCTGCGAGGGATCCAGCTGGGAAGCGACGGGGATCGTGGACGGAAGCCAGATAAGCTTTCACTTTAACAAGGATCCCTCCTCGCTTTCCTCGTCTTCTGCGGCGACTTTTGCGAGGTAAGCAACAGGAGAGACGCCGAAGATGCGGCGGTATAGACGCCAGGAGAGGAGGCGGCGTCTTTGAATGGCCATCAGAGCCACAGATTATTGACTTTCCAACAGAGTCCCGAATATTAAGAAGTGTCAGGCGATCATACACCCGCAGCGGTGACACAATCCGTGCAACAAACAGTGAGCACAGGATAAACAGCAATACAATCAACAGTGGGAGACGGACAGCCAAACACAGGGGCGCCATCTTGAATGATGTTTCAAGACCCTCACAGTGCTGCCAGTGTTCTCCAGGTGAGCCAGTCATCTACCTCTGCAGCAGGTAGATGACTGCGTCATCCACCCTGATATTTGGCTGGTACGCAAACTGCAGAGGATCCAGATGAGAGCTCACCAGGGGGCGGAGGTTCCTCAGCACGATCCTCTCCAGAGTCTTCATCAGGTGAGAAGTGAGGGCCACAGGTCTGAAGTGGTTGGGCTCCCTGGGGTGCGCTGTCTTGGGGACAGGAATCACGCAGGAAGTCTTCCACAGTGTTGGGACCCTCTCCAGACTCAGGCTCAAGCTGAAGATGTGCAGTAGCACCTCACAGAGCTGGTCTGCACAGTCTTTCAGGAGTCTGGGGCTGATGCCATCAGGACCCGTGGCTCTCCTTGGCTTCATCTTCCTCCGCTAACTTCTCACCTGGTCAGCTGTTATGGAGAGGCTGGGGGTGGTGCTGGAGGGGGTGGTGGAGGATGAGTGGAGGGGGGTTGATGGTGTCGGTGCCCTGGGACTGAGGTGGTGTGAATAAGAAGAAGGAGCAGCAGACGGGTCGTTGGTTTGATGAGTCAGGGGAGGAGTGGGAGCAGAGTCAAATCTATTGAAGAACAGATTCAGCTCGTTGGCCCACTCCCTGTCTCCTGCTTCAGGTCCCCTCTCATGGCTCCTGCTATGACCTGAGATGGATTTCAGGCCTCTCCAGACCTCCCTTGCGTTGTTCTGTTGCAAAAGGTTTTCCATCTTGGTCTTGTAGCTGGCCTTTCCCTCTCTGATCTTCTTCTTCAACTCCTTCTGCACCCTCCTCAGCTCCTCCTTGTCCCCAGATTTAAAGACCCTCCTCTTCTCCTTCAGGAGGACTTTCAGTTCCGGGGTCACCCAGGGTTTGCTGTTGGAGAAACACCGTACTTTCCTGGTGGGTACGGTGTTCTCAACAGAGAAGTTAATATAGTCCGTGATGCAGTCAGTTACATTATCAAATGTAATAAAACTGTTCTGTATTTAAAGCAAATGTTTGTGTTGTTTGTCTTGGCTGATCACTTTGATATGCAGCCTGATTTGTTATAAATGTGGGTCTGCTCTTCACTATTTTTCTGCAGTTGTCTTTGTGTGCTCCTTTGCTGTAGCCTAACCTGTTGAGATGCAGGTGGATGTAGACGAGTAAGAGTATGCTGCTGTCAGTTTCTATATCATAGGATTACATTTAATGTAGGTCAGCTGTGTGTCGGCTATAATAACCTGTTAATAAGTTGAAATACAGTATCCCTACCCCCATTTTTTTTTTTAAGGTCAACATCGTATGTTTCCTTAATTATTTTCTTAGAAAGCACCAGAGTGCTTCATCTACCTTTTGAAAACGGTAGCAAGAAGCAAGCAGTTGACAACATTCATCCCTCAAGGGGGTGTCCAACTCCGTGTTACAGTGTGTTTGACCATGACTAAAATTTACGCTGGAATATCCCTTTAAGATTTAATCTCATGTTCTTATTACTCCCTTGTTCGTGGCAGTGATTCTGCCACAAATCTCTTGCTTTGGTATATTTGCTTCCCCAAAAACATGGACCTAAAGAGAGCAGAGGAGGAGAGTGAGATATAATTACTTACTACAGTTGTCCTCTTCACTTACCTCATTGATTAAATATCAGCAGAAATTGCAGTTACGTGAAAAGTTTAAGTTGTCCTCTCCTCTGAATTAATCATCAAATAAATTCTGTACTTTTAGATTTTTAGCATTTTCAAATATGTCTCAGTATCTGGCAGGGGGGCAAACATTTTCATTTGGAAGAAATGACCAAGTATATCTCATGCTTTAGTTAAAGAAAAGGCTCAAAATATGTTTAAATGCACTAGAGTGTGAGAAATAACATCCACCATATCCCACCCACATCTTTTTTTTTTCTTTCATTCTGATGCCAATGGCCTCCAGAGACAACCCCACTCCACCACCCCTCTCATCTATCAGGAAATAATATCAGCTGTGAGGGACAAGTGATAAGCAACAGGGGTAGAGTTCCTTATAATTTCTGTAAAAATCCAGCATGCATATGTGAGCGAGGCTTTAGTGAACCAATTATCACCGCAAACCAGCTTTACTCTTTGATCTAAATATGATCACCTCTGGCTTAACAACATAGCAACAGCAATGCCATGAAACTGGAGACTTTATAAAGAGCGTATGCAAAGAACAAGTCATGAGTACATTTCAATAATAACTACACTTCTACTGTGACATTATTCTTGGTTAACCTTGTGTAAAGTTGATAAAGTTGAGTGAAAACACCCAGACTCTCAGGTTTTTAAGAGTCAGTTTTACACAAAAACCTAGGTATAGTATCTCTACTCTCTGTCCATGTCCTACATGGCCACAAACGTATATGTTTTACTCTTTTTGCTTCTCTTTCCGCTCCTCTTATCTCTGTTTGCACGTCATGGCTGATTCCGACAGTGATGGGAACTAGGCCAATACTCCTGATTTAAACAGCGGGGAGTAGTCCTATGATTTACATATGCTCTGTAACACACACACACACACACACACACACACACACACACACACACACACACGGCAACAACATCAGATCAAAGTGCTCCTCTACAACAGCAACTCAATCAACATGTACCAGTTTTAGTACTTAGTATGCATGATTATCTGCTGTTCAATGTATGTAGATCTGAAACTTCTTCGAGAAATGTTAAACTGTTAATCAAGATATTGGTTTTCAAATGGAGCTGATTTCATAAAGGGAGAAAAGAGGCGAAGGCACAACCAAACCCACTGAAACTCACAGCAAGCAGAACAGACTCATCATACAAAATGCAGATCTCAGACACTCACCAGACATGGGAGATTAGGCGTCTCACAAAATATTGACAATTGGATTTCACAGTATAAGTATGTGCATGGCAACTGTCTCTACTCTTAGTTTCTCTTCTTCTTCTTTTCTAATTCCATCCATTTCTCAGTCACACTGTCTTTGGTTGTTTCTCCCTCTTTTACAGATCAACACAACATGCCCTGTACTTGTTTCTACCCAGATCATTCCCATTAGAAAATACTAACAGTGGCTTACTGCTGGTAGCTGCAACTTAAGAATGGGCAGGGGTGCATTTCTGAAGACCTTGTAAAAGATCTCAAGCCAAGACTGTTTTTCCCCCTAACTAAAACCGCATTTTCCTCTAAGAAAACCAAATTGTTTTCATGCTGCTGCGCTTGAGAAATTGGCAGCCGTGTCCTATTTGCATTCAGTAGTCACAGTCAATGGGGAACCTAAGTAGTTTACGCCTTTAACCACATGCAAGCTCTTAAGTTTACACTCCTCAGTTTCTCTTCCAACGTTCAATTATTTTAACAAAGGTGAACTTATTAAAAGGATACTCGCTTTCTGTAGGAGACTTTCTTTTTACAAGTTCCAGTCAGTGGGGATCCGAAAAGCATTTCAAATAAGTAGATGTTAATGTTTTCCAAATTGATCAAGTCACAGTTACAAATTCCTAAATCCTGCTGAGGGGCTCATTCCTGCTGATACTTCTTATGTCTTTGAAAACAAACTTTTGCCACTGCCTTGGAGTAAACAAAAATAAGCATTCTGAGTTTGTATTTCAAATGTAAATGTGTTTCATAATTTTAGAATATATATCAGCTATAATGTAAACAAATTTGACTGCTGACATTGCTGTACTAAAGTTGGTTAGGATTTTGAATATGTATGCTATTTTCACTTTGAATTACTCCACATGCCAACCTACCCACAAACGGAAAAGTTTGTTGAGAAGTTTGTTTGAAGCTCAGATATTGCAAACAAAAAGTTATTCTGTAAAACTGGACATGTTTACAGGTGAGAGAAGAAAAGAAAAATAAATATAATCCGAAAAAAAGATTATGTTCAAAAACTTCTATGTATTAATACTTGCTTTTTTCTTCCTTCATGGGAAAAAACATTAGTATACTATGGCTACAAATTGTTCCAGGTCTCAACACCACCAAAGCCTGGTCCTGCTGGGGCTTGGAGCTTTAAAATCCCACTCCGATTGTGTATATATATATATATATATATATATATATATATATAGAGAGAGAGAGAGAGAGAGAGAGATATATTTATTATATATATTTTTTTTCAAGTACTTAAAGTGTTACCAATGGTCATAGTCAATCTGTGTCATTTTTCAAGGACTTTACTTCTGCAGAGCCCTAGTAGCTCATTCACAATTCAGCTCTAAATCGTGGGCACAAACAGCGCTGCTCTGCAAACTCCTCTTACTCCTCTTACTCACGCTAACTCTCGGACACTAATGTCTTAAGGGGCATGATGAAGGTTAATATCATTATTAGCTTGCTTATGAGCATTGCAAGCGTACACGCTTGGTCCGCGATCGTCCTCTTTATTTTTCGAGGCTTGGCCTGCAAAGCGGGGTTCCAGGGGCGGAGCTTGGATTTGTGACATACGAAATCTCACTGTGTCTGAACTTGCCATTTGGGTCTGCCAGAGATTTACAGCGATTTAAATGCAGAAATACTTAGAAAAGCAAACTGCACTTATTTTTTAATGATATTTCCTGTAGCATCAGAAAAATGCCATATAAACAAGTAGACAACAAGAAAAAACATGATTTTCATCAGTGTGGGTCTTGTAGTGCTTGTCACCCACGATCTCTTTCACCACAGCAGATGATAAAAACACTACAGGGTGCCAGTGGTCCACAAAGAGATGAAAGAATTAATGATATAAAAGGAAGAAATGTCATTTTGGGTGGGGATGAACAATAAAATGCCAGAATGTATTAGTGCTGCTTACACACTGAAAATTATGTAGGGCACTGTGGGAGATCAAATCACTGGTCCTTATTTTATTTTTGCTGAAATCACAGAGATTGACTCAAAATGGATCTTTCTGATGGAAATGTAAGTTCTGCTTTTTTCACCTTCCATTGGAGCTTTTACAGCATCAGTTCAGCACACACTCCATGCAACAACAACAACAACACTTTGC